CGAGTTACGCGGATCCGACTTACGTCGGATCTGCACTTACGAACGGGGCTTTTCTCGCCCCGGAACTCACGGGCGGTGGGACCACCCAGACGCGCAGTGGTCCCACCACCGCATCCTCCGGGGCGAGAAAAGCTGCTCCAGGTGTCCCTGGTCTGCTAGGGACCCCTCCCAACAGACCAGGGACACCCCCAGCGGACCAGGGACACCCGGAGCAAAGCCGCAGAGGCGCGGGACCCCGCCGCCCCCGCGGCTTTGCTCCGGGTCTCCCTGGTCTGCAGGGGGGGGTGCAGCTAGTGCCCCCTCCCCCCCAGCAGACCAGGCTTTTCTTGCCTACCCCTGGAGTAGAGCAGCTGGGGGCTGCCAGGTTGGTCCCGCAGCGCCACTCTGGACCAACTCGGCAGCACCCTAGCTGCTCTGCCCCAGGTGTCCCCAAGTCAGCCGCCGCTGAAACTGAGCAGCGGCTGAATCGGGGAAGCCGGGGGCAGAGCAGCTCCAATGGTCTGGCTGCCCAGATCACTTCCGGGTTCCTGATGGTGCCGGACCATCAGGAGTGCCGGACCAACAGATGCCGGACCATCGGTGTTTTACTGTAATGCTAAAAAGAAAGCAGGGGTAATAGGGTCGATTCTGCTCTTATTTACACCAGTGTAACTCCATGGAGCTACCGCTGATCTTTTCCAATGGAAAGTTCTCTCTAATTTAGACAATATTACAAAAAAATCTTAAATTAAAAACAGACATCAGGAGAGGAGAACAGGAGGAGTTATGGGAATCTGCTAGATTGTTTTTATTCCTCAACCTTCAGTAATTATCGCCGAACTCTCACAAGTTTTATATTCAGTCAGAAAGCTACAATTCAACCCAAAATGTGTTATCTCTCCTTCTCTCTTTTTTAAGCAAAGCTTTCTGATCCAAAAGCCACTAAGGTCAATGTGAGCCTTTTCACTGATGTCTTCAAGAGGCTTTGGACCAAGACCATACTGTCCTGCAAAACTGTTTACAGTTTCTCCCAGTGGAAGCAGTTACAAACGAGATGACTTACCAGAATTGAGGCCACAAAAAGTGTTTACTAACTGCATGAAGTGTTTTTTTCCTGAATGAAAGGGTCTGACAACTCCACTGGTAACTCCAGTGATTGTTGATGGGTGTGAATAGTACTGCTGAGTTTCCAATACATCAAATCAGCTATTTCTCTTTCTTGGCGTAGTTCTGTGGTTTGAAATTCTTTTAAAAGCAAGCATCATATGTGCAGCACTTACTAGCACAATCTAGAAAATAAATCACAATCCACTCCCCTACCAAAAAAGGAAGGCGAGTATAATAGGCTAAGATTTATAATATAATATTTATAATGCGCTGAAGCCTAGAACTTTAACAGGGTTCAAAAAAGAACTAGATAAATTCATGGAGATTAGGTCCATCAATGGCTATTAGCCAGGACGGATAGGAATGGTATCCCTAGCCTCTGTTTCTCTGGAAGTGGAAGACAGCGAGGGATCAAGTGAGAATTACCTGTTGTTATCCCTCCCTCTGGGGCATCTGGTATTGGCCACTATCGGCAGACAGAATACTGGGCTAGATGGACCTTTGGTTTGACACAGCATGGCTGTTCTTATGTTCTTATAAGAACCACTTATTGGCTAAATTTAACCCAAATCAACATGCTGTCAAGTTCTGCTGAAGTGAGGGAGAAAATTGCAGTGGTAGAAAGTGGCCAAAATCCCCACTCTGGCGGGAGGCCTAAAGAGGGAGGAGAATGGATGGCCAGGCAGTGTATTTCCCTGAAGTTGCCTAGACAAATGGGATTCCTATAGAGCAGCAAGTCTCATCCAGGGACACACGTACCCGAAGAGTATGCAGGGGGTACATCAACTCATCAAGATTATTTGCCTAGTTTTACAACAGGCTACATAATAAGCACTAGCAAAGTCAGTACAAATTAAAATTTCATACAACGACTTTATACTACTGTATATGCTATGCACGGAAGTAGAACAATATTAATATTCAAACTAATTTATTTTGTAATTATAGGGGGGAAATAAGAATGTAAGCAATTTTTCAGTGTGCTGTCCTTTGTGTCTGATTCTGTAAGCAAGTAATTTTTAAGTGAAGTAACTTGGGGGTATGCATGATGAATCAGACTCCTGAAAGGGATACAGTAGTCTGGAAAGGTTGAGAGCCACTGCTATGGAGCACCTAGTGCAGGGGTGGCCACATGTGGCTCTTCAGAAATTAATATGCAGCTCCTTACATAGGTACCAGATCCAGGGCTGGAACTACCTGTGCCAACTTTCCACTGAGCCGGAGGGTGCTCACTGTTCAACCTCCAGCTCTGCCCTAGGCACTGTCCCTTTTACTCTTCCCCTCTAGGATTCTACCACTTCTTACCCTCACCACTCAGCCTGTCACACCCATGCTTCCCCCCTCCAGTGTCTCCCACTGAGAGAGAGCTGATCACGGTGGGCAGGAGGAAAAGGAGAAGGAGGCACTGACTGGTGGGGCTGCCAGTGGGCAGGATGTGCTGAGAGTGATGGTGGGGAGATGATCGGGCTGGTGACATAGAACTGTTGCTCTTTGGCAATGTGCATCGGTCAATTCTGGCTCCTTCTCAGGTTTAGGTTGGCCACCTCATACCTAGTGGATTTTAAAGCCGTTGCTGTCACAAACAGAAACCACAAAAGGGTGGGCAACAGCAGCTTTGCCAGCACTCAATAGGGATGGATGGGTCTTTTTACCTTTGGTGCACAGCCCAGGCTGGTGCAGGGGATTTTAAGTTATACTCTTCTGTGCCAGTTTCAGTGAATCTAATCTAATATGTATATATTAAATATACATATATGATCTGTACTCTATGTGATCTGTACTGTATAGAGCATCTAAGGACTCAATAATGGGTCAGGACCTACTGTGGTAGGCACTGTATAAACACATCATAAAAACATAGTCTTTGTGCTGAAAAGCTTACGCTCCAAGTACAAGAATCAGTGAAAGCAGGTGGCTATAGCAGAGTTTTATACAGCTTATGATTCAATTTAGCAATATAACAACACTTGTATAGTTGGACTCTGAGCACAGATAAGAAATCAAGTGAACTCATAAGGGATAAGTTAAGTATTCTCATGTCACACTCCACTATTAACAAAGGTGAGTTTTCTTTCTTACCCGTGATATTGTCAAAGAGCTGACGGGAAGATTTCTTTCGTAGGTTCTGTCCATTAATGTGGCCAATTCAGCTGTAGAAACACAAATAAAATTATTTCCCACCAACCAAAGTTACTGAGAGAAACTGACAGTAAAAGATTAACTCTTTTGCAAACTGGAACAAGGCCTACTGTCATGACATTGAATATCGGTTCTTAGCAATGTATTTTATTTTCATTTGGAGTTAGATGGAAATACATGGAGGATTTTTTCAAAATGTTTGATATTGGGAAAAGACTTATTAATCATAAAGCAACAGGTGAAATTAATAAGTGCCTAAACAAGCTGGACAGATGCCTTGAAAGTTCATTGTTGGTTTCAAGTTTGGTGTTTACTGGACAATGCTTCTGTTTTTGTTTTTTCTTATCATACATATAGTAGCCCAGTGTCTGTGCGTCTGTAATGCTGATGTACACGGCCATGCCCCCTGGCCGTGTACGACAGCTACCTGCCCCCCTTCCCCTGTGGCGCTCTGCACTGCTCAGCTGGGCCCCAGCCAGAGGGAAAGGGGGAGGGGGGGGGGGGGCGGGGCGCTGACGTACATGGCCAAGGGGCGTGGCCATGTATGTCACCGCCCCCCTTTCTCCTCCCGCCGTGGTGCTGAGTGTTGTGCCCCTCGGCCGGGCCCTGGTGGAGGAGGGAAAGGAGGGGGCGGTGACGTACACGGCCCCGCCCCCGGCTATGTACGTCAGTGCCCCGCCCTCTTCCCCTCCCTCCGTGGCGGCTGGGCTGAGTGTTGCGCGCTCATTCAGGCCTCCACGGGAGAGGAGGGGCGGGGCGGTGACGTACACGGCCAGGGGCGCTCAACTGAGTGCTGCGCCCCTCCGCCGGGCCACTAATTTGCTTTTAATAGCGCCTGATCAGAGGCATTTGCTGGTCTCTTCTGTTAAGCATGTCACATAAACTGCAACTATGAGATCCTTTCCCTATGATAACAGAACAAATATTTCCAATAAAATGTTATGTTAATGTAATTTACGTAGTTCATTTACCACACCTTTTGTTATTAAGAAATGAGTTAAATGTAAATGTGTTTTATAAGCACATCACTAACTATGTTAATTTCTTAAAGTAATATATAAGAGAAAAGTATTTCCAATAAAATATGCTATGTTAATGTCATTGACGTAGTTCATTCATCACACCTTTTACTATACTTTACCCGGGCAACGCCAGGTATTTCTGCTAGTTTTAGAATAAAATAAAAACCACAGAACCAACCAACACAGTGATTGAAGCCCAAGAAGAAAAACATCAAATCACAAATGGATGTTAACATCTCATAAGCCTGTTCCAATAATGCCCAACATGGTACAGATTGAACCTTTCTAGTCTGGCACCCTCAACACCTGACTGGTGCCGAACCAGAGAATTTGCGGAACCACCGGAGGTCAGTATTGTCTATCAGCATCAACAACACTTCCACTCTTATTAGGCTCTAAGATGACATGTCAGGATATATTAGAGCTAAATAACATTACAGAACACTGAGAGAGAGGAAATCCCTATGGAATTCTTCAAGAATCTCCTTCCTGTGGGTCCATATGATGAAAATGACATCAATGTAGCATAAGAAGAGTAAGGTTAGCGGACGAGAGCTGAGGAAACGCTGTTCAAGGTCAGCCATAAAAATGTTGGCATATTGTGTAGCCATGTGGGTGTCCCTAACTGCGTCACTGACTTAAAGATATAAATTGTCTCCAAATTGGAAATAGTTGTAGGTGAGGACAAAATCACAGGTGTGCAGTGGCATCATCACGGATAGCGTTCCTGACAGCCTGTAATCTGTCTTCCCTGAGAAAGTCAGTGGTGTCTCGAAGATAGTTAGAAGTGTTGGTAGCCTGATGAGAGCGTCAATATAACTAAACAAGCCTGCTGTGTGTGTGCCTATGCTTCAAATGATGGGTCGTCTGGAATTTTCAGGTTTGTGTATCTTGGTAGCAGATAGAAAATTCCTGGTCAGGGATTTGGGGAAGTGTTTATGTAGATTTGGTCCTGACTCGTAGCAAGAAGTTTCATGAGCAGATGGTTTAGGGTTTTTTGGTATTCTTTAGTGGAATCAGAGGAGAGAAGCCTGTAGAACAGGGGTGGACAAAAGGGCCTCAGTGGGCCGGATCCAGCCCCCCAAGCCCTGACTGGCCTACGGGCAGAAGGGGGAGTGCACAAAGTCTCCTCCTATTGCCAGGGGCATCGGTGCCCTAGAGGGAATCTTTGGGGGAGGCAAAGGTGCTCCCCTACCCCCAGACTAATCATGGACTGTGGGTGGGGAAGCAGGAAAATATCCTGGCCCCGACCCTTCCACTTTAGGCCCTGCCCCTTCAGGAGAGGCCCAGGACCACTTAAAAAATTTCTGAAGTGGCCCCCGGCAAAAAATTATTGCCCACCCCTACTGTAGAATCTGGTATTAGTGAGTTATCTGGCAGCCTGCTGTTCATAATCTGTTCTGTTCATGATGACTACAGCACCCCCTTTGACAGCCTCTTTGATTATGAGGAAATGCTCTTCTGTGCCCAGGAAGAGACCCCACCTCTGCCCGATGCTGGATGGCTGAGATGTAGGGCAGGGCATGCCTCTCCCAACAGCTGAAGCAAGAGCAATGTACCCCAGCTCTGGCCTCCAGCGATGCTGCAGCCTGGCAGCCAGAGGTCCGCAGCCCACTGCAGCTGGCAACCACCACTCTACACAACAGATAACAGTTGGAAAGGACTGTTGATTCTTCGCAACAGTGATAAAATTCAAACAGTGGAATGAATTACTCCCCAGGGCCAACAGATATAGCAGCAACAGCACACTGACAGCAATTACCAGAAGACTAATTGCAGAAAGGTGCCCACCTGAGCATGTTAAGCGGAGACTATCTAGAGTTTTTAATCTACAGTGAAAAGAACAGGAAATATTCAAAAAGAATCTCTTCAGTATTTAAACAAAACCACAATATAGTTCTATGATGAATGAATGTACAGCTTGAGAAATACATTTGTAGCAGCCTCTTTCAGAATTCATTGACTTTTGAGGATCTAATACATTTCTATCTCTAGCTGAAAGGTGATGCCTAGGACAACTTTGAGTGTTGATGTTCAGTCCTGAAAGGCACTCACACAACTCCTACTGAAGTATTTGAGAAAGACACATATGACCTGTAGGATTAGTCATTTCATCAGTGAGTGAAGTTGGAAATCTGTCAGCACTTCATCACGGAAAGAAACATGCACCACTGACACTGCTTCCTCAGTCCCAGTATAAAAATCACACTAAAATCAAAGCTTTAAGTATAGGAAAGAAAAATCATTTAACGATATTGTTCAGCCAAACTACGGCTTCTACTGTAGCTACTAGAGAAGAATGAATAATTTGCACTAAACATATTCCAAGTTCACTTTGGTGTGAACAGAGAGACGAATGTTTATTTTCTGAATTTCATTATTTTAAATTGTTCAATAGTGAAGTGGGTTGCTATTTAACAAAATATTAGCTGTGCTGCAAATTATGAATGTATTGTGTGTAAGTGTGGAAAGCTGGTAAATTGGCTCAAATAATGTCAGTTCACCTATCTGATCACAGTCAAGTACTCCAGCAAGAATGCCCCAGAAGTAGGGGGTGGACTGCTTTACAGACTGCATTATTGTGCCATTCTTTAGAACATCATTTCATTGTGATTTTTATTTTTCTAAGTAACTTGTTTTGTGTAATTAGGCATAAGTATCTAAGGCTAATCTTCAAAAACTAATGAATTCTGAAAGAGGCCAAATCTTCAAAAACTAATGAATTCTGAAAGAGGCCATGTCTTAATCTTTCATTAATGAAATAACAGATTAGTGCTTAAAGCATTTTACTTTTCTACACTGTTTGCAGGATCCACACTGGGGACCACTCCAACCCGGCCAGAGCAGTCCCCTGCACTAGGGCTGGCTCTGCCAGCTCCCATGTGGGGATTGGCGCTGCCGTTGGCTCCTGGCTCCTCGCCTCCATTGGAACAGCTTCTACCCGCAGAGCACCAGAGCTGCCCTGCCTGCTGCTCCAGCTCCCACCAGTTACTGGTTAACTAGAATCAGTAAGCATCACCTGTTTAATCTTTCACATCCCTAGTGTTTACATGGCCAAAGTGAATGTGTATTTAAATTCTAATACATATCCACAGAAAATGTGGTAATTATCAAATAGTAGACTAATATGATCAACTCTCACATATGTATGCATACTAGGTTAATTTTTACTGAATTATTATCTTTCATAAAAAAGGTAATTTTCTTCAGACTATAAAAGATTTGGCATGTATTTTTAAAAAAGAGGGGGGTAACTTAAATTCAAGACATCATCTTCCTCTCTCAGTCATGGGAATAATAGGCTTTAGGATGTCTGATCATTTATTTTTAAATCTGTTCCTGGAAACTAAAATTTCTGCTCCCTACAATTAGGTGGCTCGGGATGTACTAATGAAAGAAAGTCTGTCATCTCCCAAGTTACTGATTTGAAATTTAACTCAGGTCAGAAGTGGCTAACTTCAGATTGCTGTTTGGTGGCCTGGAACATGAATGCATTTCAGTTCAATTCCTCAGTAGACGTCATTCTATCACACAAACCAATCTGACAATTGACATCCTTATGACAAAACATGGACGTGGTATGCAGACTGCACTGTCCAATCTCATAAAGGTGGTTCATCAAGGACAAGGTTGAAGCCCAGTGATGAGGCAATTCTGAGACCTACGGCATACTTGTACTGTGAGTGGGGACATACTTCAGTACAGAACTGTCAAGTGCTAATTCAGTTTTTATAAAAACAAAATGCTTGGGAGGGAAAAATCCTGCCCCGTGTTGGGAGATTTAATAATGGCTGGAATCAAGAGCTTATCCTATGCCTTTAGTGTGTGAAAGGAGAAAGAATTATACTGTAAGAGAAAGATGAATTATGCTGTAATAATTGAATAAGTTGAAGGAATTCTGTTTGTCTTTTTAAGAGGAAGAAGAAAAGTATGTTAATGTTGTTTGTAGGTATGCAGATTCCAGAGTGCTAGCCAGAGTTAACAGGAAA